AACAAGAGAGATTTTACTTGGCCTGTGTCAAACTAGTAAGTATATAAGTTTGCCTCAGAAGGCAAATAATCGGTAACACACAATAATATAGYAAAAATGGAAGGACACATAGGAGTAGCCATACTATGTCATTTTATTTTGTTTTAATTCGACTGTTAGTGTTAGACACTAATTACACTTTTGTTTCACGGACTAAAAAAATCACTCTGATTCTTAGGCTTAATGTGATTTTATATATACATAAAAGCAAAATGGGTGCAGCAGAACTTAGAATACTGTGCAGCTGTCCCTACATTACAATTCTTAAGCCTATAATCAGTTCAAAAGCTGATACTTTTTTTTTTTCATATTAAAAGTATATTTTTTGTGCAAATAATGAAAGTTGTTCATGATTCGGAGGTAATCCAGGGTCTTAGGGTGCCTGTGACTAGTTTAGAGTGTTGGGTGGGGTGGGTGGCATGGTCATGGACATGGCAATGGTCATTGTCATGCACTATTAGTTGTGTGTACAGGACTCAAGAAATCATCAATAAAACATCGATCAGAGAGTACTGTGTTATATGACACCAACATTGTGGTTTTAATATGATAGCAGTTTTAGATTGAATCACAGTGGCAATATTATGGAATTATTAATTAGAACAGGAAAGACTGAGAATATCAGTTCAGCCTCTTATGGGACTGCCGTCTTCCCYAACTTCAAGATAATTTATMGAATATTTTGATATGCAGATTAGTCACAATGATATGCAAAGTCCCGCAATATATAGTCTCCTGAAAGCGGCTGCGTAACTATGAGACTACGCAATATACCGCTCGACTGTTGAAAACGTCTCTTAAAAAAAATTGTATCTGCAATCGTTTTTGAAGCCGTTTTTGGTTTGGTAGCCAGACATCAGTACTCAGATCATATGGACTTGGCAATCTCGTACCCAGAGCCTGCGTTTCTTCTGGCCTGCGGCGAAGAACGAGGGCTCTGGCATAATCCATTTTTTGAGACCAGGGGTTCTTGGACTTCCGGTATAACAGGGCATGTGTTCGAAGACTTGCCAAAAATTAAAAAAATATTTTCCCGATTTCAAATTTTTGCTATGATCTTTACTTTGATTTTTACTTTGTTTTTTGTTGTTGTTGTTGTTTTTTTTGTTTGTTTTTTGTTGTTGTTGTTGTTGTTTTTTCTTTCTTTGATTTAATATTTACTTTGCTTATTTTGATGGGTTATATATCACTTTTCGAAAATTGCGCATGCGCCAAAATATGGATTATGACAGAGCCCTCGTTCTTCGCCGCAGGTCAGAAGAAACGCCGGCTCTGGGTACGAGATCGATGGACTTGGCTAATACACGAGCATGCGCAAAAAGGTGTCAGATATTTTGTGTTTGCGGTGAAAMTGTCATTATTATTCACAAGTGCTGCCAAATAACACTCAGCAAGAGGTGATACGATCGGTTTGTTTAGTTATAGTATTATTGATTATTATTGTATCTTTTCATTAATTGCATTAA